ATTTGCAAGGACCTGTGAAGTTGAGTAAACAGTTATATAATCTTCCCTCCAATTTCAAATGTGAGATTAATGCTGCTCTGGTAGTCTCACCTTCTTACAGAAATCTGTTTTGTGGATCATGGCCACTGTGGGTCAGAAAGCGCAAACTGGGTGGAATGGCCAAATCATGAGTCCCATCCTTCGAATCCAGTTTCCGGGTGGTTCCTGTTCTCTCCTAGAGGTGTAGAAGGGGTCGGTGCTGAAAGGTAAGCTAGAGCCCTGCCTTATCAGAACATGCTGAACTGCCAGCTGTGTCAGGTTACATGGCTCACTAAAGAAAGTCCCAGTGCAAAGCCCCACCTATTGGACGACTGGCCATGCTTTGTCCACATGCACCTAGGACACTGCCAAGACCCAACAGAGCAGCAGGATGGAGTCCTGAGAAGTAAAGATAGAGGAAAATCATCTGTGTTGCTAATAAAATTTTACCTCAAACACCCGGCGATTCATTGCTTTGCCTAGATACTTTCTCTGCTAAATAATTGCTTTCATGGGTAAGTGATCAGTTTATCCTTCTTTCTGTGTGAGAGAGGGGAGAAAGCTGGACAATTCTACATGTGCGTGTGGCAGCTTTCTTTGCCTATTCTGCTCCCCCTGGAAGGCGGAAGATGAGTTAGAGGTAAGTGGGGTGTTGACTCAGCCAGCCACTAAGTAAGCAGTATCAGGCAAATTACTAAGCCCTCTTGGGCTTATTTCTTCAATTGTAGTAAGAGTGCTTAGCCTGATTAGAAGATTTCTCAATTCCCTTCTAACTCTAAACTGTGATTTGGGGCTTGCTTTGGGATTCCTTGGTACAGTGAAAGATCTTTTGCTTCCCATGCAGCGGAGACCCTGGAGGGATAAGGCCTGTGTATTATTTAAACAACTGAACTACAATAAGGTTTTTCCCAGTGAGGCATTTGGTGCAGGCGAGCATTTGATAATCAGCTTCCCAGGAGCTCTTTTAAAGCTCCATCGAAAAGCAAACATACTTTTCAAAGTGAGCTCCTTCTAATTACTTGTTATTTAAGCTTTATGTTTCCTTCCAATCTTCAGTTCTGAGCAGCTGGGAAAGCTCAGGCAAAGGGCAGAGCTCTCAGGAAAGGCAATTGGTTTGATAAAGGTTGCAAATCTAATTACTAAGGGGTATGAACTAAATGGATTTGTCTAAATCTTCCTTCTGAGGTCTGCCCACTCTGCTGCAGCACAGCCTCCATCCAAAAGAGACCACTACTCAGTGTCTACCAATCACCACCGTTGTGCTGAGCACTACGTCCTTCATGCTTGCTAATTTATCAAATTATCCCTAAAATCACGCAAGTACTTTCATTGTTCCTACTTACCAGGAGGAAGCAGTGAGGTTAAGTAACTTGTTCAAGGCCGCTCCTCTGGTAAGAGGCAGGAGCAGATTTGAAGATAGTGAGGAGCCAGAATCCATCACTTTACTCCACTACATTATACTTTAACGTATACAGACTTAGGGAGCAGTGTCTTCCAACAGAAGTTTTTAAAATGTCACTTCCCCAAGTATTTGCTATCTAAGAAGTAGGTAATCAAAGGTTATTTGCAAATGGCAAAATGGTTTCCACTTGATAATCTTTCAGCACAAAACTAGGAGTTCGGAAATTGTATGAAGCAGATAAAGTTGTTTCAGTACTTTCTTTTTATATCTGCTCCCATAATGGATTGCTGAGAAAGCTTCCAGAAACTTCAGGGCAGGCCAAGGTTGAGGTCACAGGCAGTTGAGGTTGGAATCTAGGAGGCGGAAATGAATGTCCCCAGTTGATGTCTGTTTTCCACCCAGGAGCTGTCACCAGAGCGGGTGTCCCTTGTGTTCACGCATACAACCTGTCGGGCCTCTGCCAAGCCCATTTTGCAGAAGCGGAAACGGAGGCTCAGGGCACCTGATAACTCTGGGACAGAAGCCAGGCCCGGGGCTGGGGAATTCTGACTTTGAACATCAGGCACTTCCCATCCTGCCCTCCGGCCCTGCCACCATCAACACATCTGGCAAGCTGGATCCTGCAGGAGCTGCTGCAAAGTTAGTTCTTTTCAGAATCCTCTTCACATATGGATTTGTTGAGGGGCCTCTGTTCCTCTCAAAAGCCGGTAAAAAGGTTCCAGCCTCAAAAATATTTGTTTGAATGGGGGGCTGGGCTGGTGGTTGTGGGCCTAACGTTTGTGACGCAGATGAGGGACTCGGTGATGAAGAAGAAAGATCCTTGAGATCTTAATACTCATAAGGACGGATATCTCAATAAAGTGAAAGTGAGAGTAAAGCAGTTTCGATCTGTGAGTATTTATCACTTACTGTGGTGGAGTCAGCGGTGAGGAGTGCAAGAAACAGGGTGTATCTGCAGCTAGTTCCTATCTCGGACAAAAGTTAAAAATTACTTAACTTTCCCCCGCGATACGATTGAATAAGCACATTAACAGTTCATAAAAGAGGTTGTGAAACCTCCCAAGGAAGCAAAACATTATGTAAGCGCTCAGCAGGGGGCTGAACTACAGGCCGGGGAGGTTCTTTCCTGTGATAAGGATTATTATTTCTCTGGAAGGGTTTGTCTTTTATGGCTAGTAACCATTCACTCTCCCTTCAGTCTCCCAGCCTTCGTCACTACCCACACCCAGAACCATTACGAACACCCACTTGGTTCCCCACACTAACCTTCATGAAGTGAAAACAGTCCCTCTGGGGCCTACCTACCAGTGGGGCTGTAAACCTGGAGACGTCACTGTGCCCAGCGTTCTTGGATTTGGTTGTCGGGGTTGCGGAATATTTAGGTGAACCCAGCCTAGCAAAATATATGATCACATCAACTCTAATAATGACTTTCAAAATGAGAATTTTGAAAGGTATATTGAAGGGAGAACTGAGGAATGTTTACAGTTGTAACACCGCTGATATCTTAGGCTGTCACTTTGTTTAGAATTTAAAACATGGTGAGTAGTGATGCCTCTCAGTTTTGAAAAATAATATTCACTGATATAAAGTCAAGATATATATGTGTGTATGTATGTATATATGTATAGCCTAAATTGTATTAAATATCTTGGTTCTCTTAATTATTGCTACCACTAAATGTGTATTAGGTAGCTGGGGAGAATTCTCCTATTGTCTCCACAAGGGTCTGGGGAAGTTTCTGAAGCTGAGAAAAGCAGCCTAACCCACCCTGCTTGTAGAAGAGGTTTGTAGGTTTCCTGACCACCCTTGCAGAAAAATAACTTTCAGAACTGATTAGTAAGAGGCATGAGAAGGGTTTTATTAGGCAGAAAATAAAAGTATGTATGCAGAGAAAGTGTAGGTCCCCAAGAGAATGAGACACCTTATTTCCTGGAACAGGGAATATGTTTTTATTCTTCTCTTGAAAGGTGGAAACCTCAGAAAAAAAGTGACCCACCCTCAAAGGGTACCTGCCTATTTTACAGGGGTGGTCCCAGTTTTTTTTCTTTTCTTCAGGTGGGTCATTTAAATATTGTTTGGATTCTCTCCACCTCTTCCTTTATCTTAGGATCAGGTTCCTTCTCCTTACTTCTTTAATTAAGCCAATTTAGGGACTTCTCAGGATTCCTGAGGAATGTTGGGTGTAATGAGACTGGAAGAAAAAGAGCCTACATTTAACCAAGGGGGTACTGACATGTATTAACCTTGGGTAACTTTGACTGGGTCCTACAAGGTGTAGTCTTTCTAGAAGTACAAAATTTAGTTATGATTTTCCTTGTCTCCTTTTTAACCTATCTTTATTTCTTCTATCCTACCTTAATTTAAATGATTAACAGGTAAAACAGGAAATTCTATGTAAAATAGGAATTAAGTTTTCTTTTTATTACAAATGTGGCCTTTGAGTAAACAAAGATGCAAACATGCATTCGCAAAGGCAATGTAGGAGGACTTGAGGCCCATTCCCCTGGGTGAGCCTTAGTTTCCTCGCTGAGTTAAACAAAATTCCGTTACTAATGGTTAATGCCTGCTGAGGGCTTAACTTATTCCAGGCATTGTTGCAGGACTCTACTTGTCTCAGTGATATAAAAATCATCTGAAGTAACACTATCATTTCCATTTCATAGATGAGGAAAATAAGGCAGAGATTTTTTTTTTTTTCCATCTGTGGTGCTAGAGATTCAACCCAGGGCCTTTGTACCGAGCCATAACCCCAGCCTTTTTTAATTTTTTATTTTGAGACAGACTTTTACTAAGTGAGGCAGAGATTTTTAAGCAGTTTTATGCAGCTGTCACACAGCTGTAGGACTGAGATTTGAACCAAGAAACTCTGGGTCCAAACTCCTTCTGTTTAGCTATTATAAAAGCATACAAGAGTACGTCTTAGGTCATTTCATTTAACTCATGGCGGGGCGGGGCAGTGATTCCGAAAATTGGCAGCAAAACTTCAAAACAATGGGCAACAAGTGTTTCTAATCATGGTTTGTCTTTTTTTCTTTTCTTTTTTCACCATTTATTTTTTCAATAAACACCGTTTGAAAAATAAAAAAAATGAATAATGAGGCATGCATACCCTTACATTATTAGACTCAATTCCTCCCAGAAGAAAAGCAAAGGAATCCCTAAACTTTGGACCTGAAGAAGCTAATCAAAACATCACAATATAAATACTGGAGTCAACAGTAGCACCCGTGTGTGTGTGTGTGTGTGTGTGTGTGTGTGTGTGTGTGTGTGTGTGTGTTTGTGGTACAAATTCATATAACTTTGTGCAAGGCAATTTTACAATGTATATCAAAAGCATTCACAAACATTCGCTCTACTGAGCAATTCCACTTCTGGGAGTTTCTTGTATACAAAGGAATGTTCTCTTAAACATTATTTAAATAAAATATTTGAAGAAACTTAAGGAACTTTTCATATATAGGATCATATAAATAGTTATGGGATTAAAAGTGAGTATTGTGGGCCTGGCTGTGGAGGGACTTGTGTAAGTTGAAGGACATCAGCAGCGGAATTTTGCGGCTCTGATGAGATTGAAATCATGGCAGGTCCAGAAGCTGATGCCCAGTACCAGTTCACTGGCGTCAAAAACTACTTCAACTCTTACAGTCTCACAGGTAGAATGAATTGTGTACTGGCCACATATGGAGGCATTGCTCTGACAGTCTGGTATTTCAAGTTAAATTCTCAAAAAACGAAGATACCAGCTGTGAAAGCAACTCAAGTGTGTCGGGGATCAAACCCAGGGCATTGTGCTTGCTAGTATTTGACTTCGTCTGTCAAGTTCCCACGCCTGGAGGAGCTGATGTCACACATCATGTAATACTCAGCTTGTACAATAAATTACGAACCTGGAAAAAAAGTGTATTTTGCTTTATTTTGGGCAGTTTTCTATGCTTCCCAGATGCTTTGCATCGAGCAGTTATTAGTACAGAATTAGGAAAAAAATAACAATAGTATGATAACTAGAAATGTGTATGTTAGTGTGAAAAAATATTTCACATCTGTATTAGGTAAGAGTCTAAACTACAACTGTCAGAAAATCCAGCACAAGATGTCTTAGTGAATAGCAAATTACTGCTCCGCATGCTTCAGGCATAGCAAGATCCAGGCCTCATGTGGTATTGTTAGGTCTTGGTCCTTCTCTCACTGTCTTTTTATCTGTTGTCTGTTTTTCCTCTCCACTGCTGCATTTTCAGGAAATTGCTTCCCTATGGTGGCAAATGTACCCACAGAGACCTTTCTATCATCATCCTTCCTCAGCAAGCCCAGCCAATTGTCTTTTCAGTAAGGGTTAGAATAAAGGCCCTGGACCCAATTTTCACTGGCTGTCCTGGGATCATGCGTCCACCCCAGATCCAGGGAGACAGCCCTGTGAGTAGGACGCTTCCACCACCCACAGGAGGAGGTATTGGTGGACGGTGTGGAGGCAGAAGGAGGCAAGGGCCCTGCCTGGAGGTTGGTGGGCTCCATAAAGAGACGCCAGGGAGGAGACAAAGCACAGCCACACAGAAACAAAAACACAGGGACCACAAGCTTTCCATTTCTTTTGATACTCGCTGAGGAAAGCAATCTCCGCCTTGAATCATTTAAATCCCTCATGGTCCCGAGACACAGAAAACAAAGATAATCTATTAATTTACACAACTGAAAGTCCAGAAGTAGAGACTGCTTCAAGTGAGTCTAAACTACTCACGATTTGTTCCTTTTCATCTCTGTGGTGGAGATGGCTCCACCCACCCAGAGATCCCTGGTACCTAACGAGATTGTCTCTCTCCATTCTAGCAAATTGCTCTGGCAGTTGCAAACCTCACATCCTCACCCCTGGCCAAATGTGACCCAGGAAAAGAGACTGTCTTTTGGTGTTTTCTATACAATCCCTTGTAATTGTCATCCCTCCTCTTGGCCCATTTCGATCACAAGCTCACCAACCTAGGTGGCTGCTGGCTGGAGGAATGAGCTATGTTGGTTGGCTTGAGTTAAGAAGAGCCCATTTCTGGGCAGGACCAGTCCCATCTGGACCACCCATGAGCATAGAAGAGGGGTGACTTCCTAAGGCTAAGCCAGGTGGCAAAGGAGGCTTTCATGCTGCAGCGAGAACCAACAGATGTACAACCCAACCCGAGAGGAATCTGACATGTTTTAATCTCTAACTATTGCTCATTTTTGAATGGGAAATATCTATGAAAACTCTTTCCTGCTTATGGCTCAGTGTATCATCGGTGTTGTAGATCACTTATATGCCAATTTATATGACTAAATGAAGTATAAATTTATTACCAGTCTTCAATCACATGTCAGTTTTTGTTTTGTTTTGTTTTTTTTTAAGCACCACTAAAGGGATGACATTTATTCCTTTTCCAAATGTTACAGTAAAACCAGGTGGAAGAGAATGGTTTTAGCAATTAGAAAAAAAAAAGTACAAATCTGGGGTTTGGCCATTAAAAGTTATTTACAACAATGGGAGAAAAAGAAGACAACAAGAAATTGTTTCACATTACAGACCTTCCTTCCCACCCAAAGCCTAATACTTGCTTACCAAGTCAAAAAAGAGACAGTTGATTCACAAGCTGGAAGTTTAAACTTGAGTAAGACATTTATAAAAACCTAGACGGGGTAGTGTCCTCCCCAGCCCAGGTGCCACTAGGCACAGCACAAGAGACTAAAAACTCAACATGGGGAAGGCTGGACACTCAGGGTTTGGGAGTGTAAGCACCCTACTTCTGGCTCAGGGATCTGGGGAGTAGGATAAACAAAACCTACTTGGAAAAGAACCGGGGAGAAAACCAGAAATTGCCTTCTGTAGGGAAAGGGACAGGGAAGGAGGTAGGGTCAAGGACAGGAGCATTTCACATCACTAACCTAACTTGGGAAACTGTAAGGGACCACCCTTAACTGGCCCTAACAGGAAGACCAGAAGGCTGATGGGAGAATCCACAGGAGGGAGAGGAGAGGGGTTGTGTCTGGGAGGGGGCAACAAGCCCCTTCCTTTCTGGGCACAGGAAGGCAGCCAGGGCACCAGGGCCAGGCAGTTGACCTCACAAGGACAGCACAGGTTTTGCAGTTTAGAGATCACCCACCTGCCCCCACCCAGCTACTCCTTCTGCTCAGCGCTGGCCGACGCAGGAGCAGGCCCTGAGGGAGTAGATGGCTCTGCGGCTTGGGGCCCCGCCTCCTCTTCAGCGTCTCCTCCCTGTAGGCAGCACTAGCCTCTGCCCCCTTGGCCTGGGGCTCCTGGCTCTCAGGGGTGGCAGCAGCTTTCCCTTCCTGGGCAGTGCCCTCCTCACTGCAGGCACCGATCTCCCCCTGCTCCTGCTCTTCCTCTGTGGGTGAGGAGGCAGAAGAATAACCCCCACCCTCCTTACGATTTCTCTTGAAGGACAGGCCACTCAATTTGAAAGGCTTCTTGAAAGAGAATTTCTTCTTTTTCTTGGGGGTCTCCTTGGGGGGGCTCCCCCTTGGCCTCAGCGCCCTGGCTAGGGGGTGCTGGCTCGATGGCATCGCCAGTGGCCCCAGCTGCCTCATTTGTTCCGTTCACCGGGGGCGACTCCCCTTCACCCTTAGGGGACAAGTCTCCATTGCTTTTCACGTGGCCATTCTCCTG